GTGTGTGTGTGTGTGTGTGTGTGTGTGTGTGTGTGTGTGTGTGTGTGCCTGCTTGTCTGTATGTGCACCAACTGTGTGTTTACCTGAGGAGGCCAGAATAGGGCCTCTAGAACTGGATTATAAGCAATTGTTAGACATGATGTGGGTACTGGAAGTTGAACCAACTAGCAGTTGGAAAAGCAGCCAGTGCTCTTACTTACTGAGCCATTATTCTGGCCACAATCTTTAAAATTTTGTGTCTCTCACCAGACGGTGGTAGTGAGAGCATTTGGGAGTCAGAGACAAGTAGATCTCTGAGTTGAAGGCCAGCCTGGTCTACAGAGTGAGTTCCAGAACAGCCAGGACTGTACAGAGAAGCCCTATCTTGAAAAACAAAAACAACAAAATATTTTGTAGCTCTCTTAATTGAAAGTGAAAAAGGAAGTGTCATGCTTGTCACACGCCTGTAATCCAAGTACTCAGGGAGGCAGAGGCAGGCAGATCTCTGTGAGTACAAGGCCAGCCTGGTCTACAAAGCAAGTCTGGGACAGCCAAGGCTACACAGAGAAACCCTCCTCTCTTAGGAAAAAAAACCCTAAGAAATGATTTCTTTAGTCTTACTCTTTATTGTCAGTGGTTCTCACCCTTCTTACTGCTTCATAACTAATTTTACTATGATGAGTTTACATTAAATTGTGAAGATAATGTAAATATCCGATATGCGGGGTATCTGTCGTATGACCCTTACGAAAGAGTCAGTCAACCCCCAAAGGGGTTGCCATCGCAGGGTGAGAACCACTTCTCTAAGGGCTTCCTGTGCTACTCTTTAAGTTCCTGGGCTTAATCAGTATTATTCCCAGTGGTGGCTGTCTTTACTTAGCATTACGCTGGGCACCACAGTTGGTTCTTAACTCTTTTCCTTAGCATAAAGTAGTATTTCCTTTTTACACATAAAAAAGCTGAGATATGGCTAAGTTAGTTAAATTGCTCAAAGCCACTTGGATGTGGTGGCACACCTTTAATCCCAGCACATGGGAGGCAGAGGCAGGAGGGTCTGTGTGAATTTGAAATGAGCCCGTTCGATAGAGCTAGTCCTAGTTCAGCCAGCGCTGGGTGAGACCTTGTCTCAGTTGTTCCACCACTACCGCCAAAATTTTCTTTTTGCTCAAAGTCATCTGTCTAATAAGAGTGGGAATTTAGCTGGATGCGGTCTTGGCGGCATTCCTTTAATCCCAGCACTCAGGAGGCAGAGGCAGTCCTGGTGTACAAAAAAGTCCAGGAAAGCCAGGGCTACACTGAAAAATCCTGTCTCAAAAAGGTAATTGAAAGCTGTAAGTTTTTTCTCTCAACTACTATATTCTCAATAACTATGTTATTAAACTAATTTTACCTACGAAATTTTACCCAGGAAATTAAATTTTAATTGAAGAAACTAAGTTTCATTTTCTTGAAAATAGTAGTCTGAGTAGTGGGAGCTATATATATTGCTACCTCTTTGTCACCAGTGTTTTGTCATGTTGTATTCACAAGATCCAGTAAAGAAGTACAATCTTCTACTTGTGACTGCTCTCACACTTTTAACTACTCTTTGCAGTGGAAGCGTTGTTGGATTCAATCTCTAGCATTCCTTACCTAGTGGGAAAAAGACTTTTAATAAATATATCTAACAAGTCAGCTAATGGCTTTAGTATCCAATTAAATCTTCAGGTATCATAGTTGTTACTTTCTGCCACATATTTATAATCTGTATTGTAATACTGACAGGCCAGCTGGTTTTTCTAAATCTGTGAACAATATAGGTGATATTAAAACCTGGAGTTTCTCAGTTGGGGAGGCTTGAGCTGTGGTTTAACTTTTAAGCAAGGTGTGTGGCTTGCTTGAATGTTGACTGTACCTTCTTTAAATAGTTCTGTTAGTGCATAAGACAAAGTCTGCTTGATAGCTAAGATAACTGGCGCCACCTTGCCTTTTAGCTGTGGCTCCTTGGTGACAGGAGCTCCCGGGATTGGTCCTGCACAGTGTTGCAGGAATGTGAGCCTGTTAATGAAAGTGCCTCAGAACACTCACTCCTCAGTAGACTCAGTACTGTCCTTATTGCTCTGCAAAGGAAAAAGAAGCCCCAACATTCTCCTTTAGTTGATTGTGAGTTTGACAGTAAGCTACCTTGTCCCTGCACTAATGCTGCTCAGGTCACCTGGAGGCATAGTGTAAGGTTGAGAATGTATCTTGGTTACAACCCAGGCAGTCGCCTGTCTGCCTTATCGCCCGTTTCTTCTGGTGCAGCGCTGTCTTTGAAGTGTCCTGTTTGGTCTCTTCTTGTTTAGGTGAGGACTGTCCTCAGTGGATGGTTCCTATTACAATTTCAACTAGTGAAGATCCCAGCCAGGCCAAACTGAAAGTCCTGATGGATAAGCCGGAGATGAGTGTGGTTCTGAAGAATGTCAAACCCGACCAGTGGGTGAAGGTGAGTTTGGAATGGCAGAGCCATTTTTACTTTACCTGAAATGATTTATTTCTCTTACTCTATGCCTTTGTGGCAGACTCAGAATTGTATTCTTTCAATTTAGACTAGTACTTTTTGTTTTTTAGAGACAGGGTTTCTCTGTATAGCCTTGGCTGTCTTGGGCTTACTTTATAGACCAGGCTGGCCTTAAACTCACAGAGATTCACCTGCTTCTGCCTCTGCTTCAGGAGTGCTGAGGTTACAGGCATGCTCCACCACACCCAGCTTAGGCTAGTACGTTCAAAGCAAAAACCTTTCTAAGCAGATAGGAAAAAAGACTGGAGTGGGAGACACAAAGCAAGAGTTAACTGGGATTGGCCATGCGCTCCTGTACCTGTATCAGCCAGTAGGCTGAGGCAGGGGTGAGAGTTAGAGGTGGCCAAGCCAAGTGAGACTCTATTTAAAAAGAAGGGGAAGGAGGAGCAAATAGTATACTGTGCACAGAACATCTGTAGTCTTGCCGCTGCAGCTGCTTCCTTTGTAAAAAGCCAGGCAGTGGTGGCGCACGCCTTTAGTCCCATCACCCAAGAGCAGAGGCAGGCAGATCTTTGAGTTTGAGGCCAGCCTAGTCTGCAGAGTGAGTTCCAGGGTAACTAGGGTTACACAGAGAAACCCTGTCTTGAAAAACCAACCAACCAAACTGCCCTCCCATTCTAATGTTGTATTAACTTTAGTACTGTGTCGTCCTCATATAACTATTCTCAAATAAAATTAGAAATACATAAAAATTGATTTGTCAACTGAAATACAAAATTCTTTTAGCTACTGCTATAAAATTATTTTGCAAAAATACCAGTGAATTAGTATTCTTTTTCACTTTGTAATAAATTTTTTTGCTGCAATTTTTTCTTAGTTACTGGTTTTCCCAAAATTTTAATTGCTAAAAAGTAACCATTTTTCTATTCTTAACAAAATTTAGAAATAGTGTCTATTTTTCTTAATGATGTCTATTGCTTTTCTCAGAAATATACTATACCAAGCAGATTTATACTGCAAAGGTAAAAATAATGAAGAAGATAATCTCCCGTGCATATATATATAAATGGAGGAAATATCTTCAAGTACTGTTTTCTTTGAAACCCAGAATTGTCTTTAAGAAAATAAATTCCAGTTTTCATGAGCTTTTGCAAGTCCACCATATTAGTGAGTGATAATACCGAAGCCCGTGATCTCCTGGGGTTTTGCGTTGCCTCTGTTATATGGAGAGGAGTCTAGGATCCTCTGTCATAGTCAGCATCTGGAACTGGAGCTTTGTTCTCCTTGGACCTAAGTCATCTACACTTACAGAATTTTAAACTATTCTTTCATTATTCAAATTTTTTTTTAGCTCAGCTGAATTTTGAAAGGCATCAAATGTGTTATGTATGAAATAATTCAATTGTGAAATATAGTAACAGAAATTAAAAAAAAATATTTAAAGTGTACTCTGTAGTAGGTTAGCATTTGAAATTATGATCTGGAAGAATAAGCAATATTGAAGTTTCTTAAATTATTATGATTATTTTAATGTGCTATGGTGTTTTACCTGCATACATGTCTCTGTGTGTCTTGGAACTGGAGTTAGAGACAGTTGTGAGTTTCCATATGGATACTGGGAATTGAACCCAGATCCTTTGGAGAAACAGCCAGTGCTCTTAACTGCTGAGCCATCTCTCCAGCCCCAGTTTGATTTTTGAATTTTTTGTTGTTGGTGGTGGTAGTGGGTTTTTCTTTGGTTGGTTTGGTTTTTGATACAAGGTGTCTCTGTGTAGCCTTGGCTATCCTGAACTCACTTTATAGACCAAGCTGGCCTCAAACTCAGAAATCCTCTTGCCTCTGCCTCTCCAAGTGCTGGGAGTACAGGCATGCACCATTGCTCCTGCCATTAGCTTTATAATATTTCTATGTAGACCAGGCTGGCCACTGTGCCCACTCAGAAAACATCTTTTCTAAAATGGAGTGGCTAACCATGGTGGTACTCAGCCTTTGATGTCAGCAGTTAGAAGGCAGAGGCTGGTGGATCTCTATGGGTTTGAGGCCAGCCTAGTCTACATAGTGAGTTGCAGGACAGCCAGAGCTACATGTGTATCCTGTCTCAAAAAAATAGTGAGGAGAAAGGAAGTAGCTAAAAATATTTATTGGTCTTTTCAGCTCAATCTGGGAACAGTTGGGTTTTATCGGACCCAGTACAGCTCTGCCATGCTGGAAAGTTTATTGCCAGGCATCCGTGACCTCTCTCTGCCCCCGGTGGATCGACTTGGATTACAAAATGACCTCTTTTCTCTGGTGAGCATCTCACACTTAGGTCATATGATGCATTTTGTTGGTTAAAGGATCCTGTTTCTTCTGAAGTATATAAAGCATATTAGAAGGATATGATTCTTCCTGAAGGTTGGCACATTTGGGATAACAGCAAATGGCTAATTACTAATTAACATGACAAGATTATTACCTGTATCATTTGCCTGAAGCACAAATTTCATTTTACTGCTTCTAAGGTACTTTTTTTTAAAAAACCTATCTTTGCTTAAACTATCCTGTATAGGGCCAAAAGTCAAGTCTTTCAAAACAGATGGATATGCGTTACTAAGAAATTTTTCTACTGATTTTTTAAAAAACTACTTCAGAGTGATTTTAAGTTTTTCCTAAGTTTTACTCTGCTGGGAAAGCAAGAGTGTTTTAACAGTATGTTATCACTCAAATTATAGTCAATCAGCCCCAGACTTGTATACATATTTGGCCTTGTTCCAGGAAAGAATTAAAGCAGCAGAATTCATATTGTTGTCTTTATGACTCCCAACAGGTTAGGTCACTTCAGGATGTCTTTGCCTGTGGTAAAATTGTCATTCTTTCTAGTGTTCCTTTAAATTGGACTGAAATCTCCCCGCCCTCTGTGACTGCTGATTGGATTCCTTCTTTGAATAAATGCAGATTAGCATTGATGGACAAAACCTCCCATTTGCTGATTGCATTACCAAGAGAGACCTGTCTTGGGAGAGCAGGCTGTTTGTGCAGTTGGATGCTAGAACACAAGTTCTTTTTTTCAACTGTCGTTAGTCAATGCTGAAAGCACTCTCAATTCGTAGAGCCTCCTGCTCATGTTCTTTTAGGAGTAAAGGAAAGAGAGGGTCCGATTGACAGTTTGCAGGCCAGCCCTGAAAGAGCCTTTGTCAAGAGCCAGGCCCTCAACTCTTTTCGGGTCTTCTGAAAGTATTAAATTTTAAAAGCTCAAAGTGATGGCCCTGAAATTGAGTAGAAACAAGAAGTTAGCTGGTTTTTATTGTTCCCAACTTAGGAGGTACAGTGTAATTTTTTAAGGAGTTCTTTTACAAATAGCAAAATTTATAAAAGGCTGTCAAGATAAGGTTTTTATTCTAACAGTATTGGGAGCTTACTGAGCTTCATTTCCTTAAACAAGAAAAAAAAAAAAAGACTAGCAGTAGATAATGCCAGTATACGTGTTTATTTCTTCTGCCTTGTTTGACCTGAAGGCTGAGCTAATTTGTGTTTTTTCCTATCCCAGGCTCGAGCTGGAATCATTAGCACTGTAGAGGTTCTAAAAGTCATGGAGGCTTTTGTGAATGAGCCCAATTATACTGTATGGAGCGACCTCAGCTGTAACCTGGGGATTCTTTCAACTCTCTTGTCCCACACAGACTTCTATGAGGAAATCCAGGAGTTTGTGAAAGATGTCTTTTCACCTATAGGAGAGAGACTGGGCTGGGACCCCAAACCTGGAGAAGGTAATGATGAGTGTACTCTATGGGGAAAGAATGTGTTTGAAGTTGCTACTTTCTATTTGCTGCTGATTAACAATTAGCAGCAACATCTCTATATCCAGAATTATATGCAGTTTGCCAGAAATTAAATGTTCTAAACCTGCTAGTGAAATTGTTACACCAGCAACAAACAGTAGTAGCTCAAGTAGCTTGGAGCCCATGGTGACTCCTACCTCAGCATGAATTGTCACACTTGGCAGGGGTCGGCTTTCTAAAATAAGGGTTTTAATTGCTTTCTGTGTGTTTTCCGTGATTATGTCTATAAGCATGTACCTTTTAAAAAATGTGTCACTTAAATGTTCAGAATAGTGGCTTTAAACTCAATTATTTGTTGCTATCTGCTCATTAAAAGAGGTATTTTCTCCTGACTAATCTTAATATAGGATTTTTTTTTTCCTTTTTTTAGTGCTAGGTTTAAACCTATAGGGTCCTAGTCTGTGCTTAACTCTGTCAGTGAGCTACTCCCAGACCACCAATGTGAGATTCTTTGTTTGTTTTTGAGACAGGGTTTTTCTGTGTAGCCTTAGCTATCTTGGACTCACTTTGTAGTCCAGACTGGCCTCAAACTCACAAAGATCCACCTCTGCCTCCTAAGTGTTGGGATTGCACACCCAGCTAGTAGCAAATTCTTGCCTGTCTTTCCTTCATTTATTCACTAATATTTATGTAAATAGTAAAAGTCAGGTGCTATTTTAGAAGCTGGTGATAGAGGTTAACAAAGCATTGCACTGTATAGCTTACATTCTAGGGAGACATAGCAAATAAATTATATTAGGGTGGTAGAAAGTATCACAATGAAAAATTAGATAGTGTGACTAAGGAGTCAATACTTGGGGAAAATCATCACTAATTAGATGATCTTTGAGCATAAATGGAGAACTGAAAAAGAGATACAAGAGTAGAACAAATATGATCCAGACCAGAAGGACTGAGAAAAGGTAGAAAGTTATTGCTGGTGTGGCAACTGACTAATTGAGAGGAGTCTAGACCCAGCAAGTAGGGGAGGAGTTAGCCTAGAGAGGACATGCATATATAGTGACAGGACAGTAGGAAGGAAGTGTGCACAGGCAGCTCAGTTCCTGGATGTTTCCTGCACTTTTCTTTGGAAGTGTGTGAAACCTTTGATTTAGAACAGATACGGGGAGAATGCCTTTGTTGGATCACTGTACAGATGGGGTTTAAAGAGAAAAGCAACAAAACATTGTTTTGACCTACAGTAGTCAGTAGCAGAGTCCCAGTAAGGGCTGGGGAGACAGCTCAACCCTGTTTCTAAGTGTGTACACCAGAAGACCCGAGTTCACTCCCAGGAAAATAGCCTGGAGTGGTGACACAAGCTTGTTATCCCAGCACTGAGGAGATGAAGGCAGGGAGAGCTATGGGCTAGCTGGCTATCAGCTTTGCCTACTTGCTGAAGTCCATTCCAGTGAGAGATGTCTTAAAAAATAAGGTGGAGGGGGCTGGAGAGACGGCTCAGAGGTTAAGAGCACTGGCTGCTCTTTCAGAGGACCTGAGTCCAGTTCCCAGCACCCACATGGTGGTTCACAACCATCTATCATGGGATCTGGTGCCCTCTTATGGTGTGCAGGTGTACATGCAGATACAACATTGTATACATAATAAATAAAGCTTTAGAAAAAAAAATGTAAGGTGTCCAGGATTGGTGGCACCACCTATATCTCAACAACTGGGAGGCAAAAGCAGGTGGTTCTCTGTGAGTTTGAGGCCAGCCTGGTCTTCAAAGAGAGTTCCTGGCCTTCCAGGGCCAAGTAGTAATAAGGCCCTACGTCAAAAACACAAGGTGGGGGTAGAGAGCTGGCTCAGAGGTTAGGAGCAGTGGCTGTTCTTCCAAAGGTCCTGAGATCAAGTTCCAACAACCACATGGTCTGGTGTCCCCTCTGGCCTGCAGGTATACACACAGAACTCTGTATACACAATCAATAAATTAAAACACACACACACACTCAAGGTGGATGGATGGCTCCTGAGGACAACACCCAAGGTTGGCCTTTGCTCTCCACATGGTATGAACACACAAATACGTACACACACATAAACACACACACATAGCCATCACAGGAGCTCGAGAGATGTCTCTTTAGTTACGAACACTTAAAAGCTCTTGCAGAGGATTATGTTCCGTTCCTGGTGCCCATATGAAGGCTCACAACCATCTGTCTATAATTCCAGTTTCAGGGGATCCAACCTCCATTCTAATCTAAACTATATCCCCCCCAAAAAAACTTTTTTTCAGTGCTAGGATTGAACCAAAGCATCTGGAATGCTCTACCACAAGGCTGTATCCCCAGACTATTCATGAAGGCTTTGACTTAACAGTGACGGTGATGCTCAGTTGGGGGTGCTTATTAGTATTTTTCATGTCATTAGAGGATGAATCCATTGAATTTTCATTTTTAATCTAAGGTTTCAGTTTATCATACAAAGAATATTCTAGTTGCATGTGATAGAAACCTTTCTTTTTCACACATACTCTTTAACGGTGTAGTTAACTACATTAGTAGACGCTGGTAGCTGGGACTTCTGAGTCCAAAGTCTGCAAACTTGTTTGCTTGTCTAGTCTGTTTATTCCTTTCCCCTTACAATTTGGTAAATTACATCAAATGTTCTCTTTTTTAGAGTAATGGATAGTGTTTGTTCAAGACCATAGACTTGGTATAACAAAGTTACAGAACATTCAGGTCGGACATTTATAAAAGCAGGCTTTTCAAGTAGTCTTGTGTCTTCACTTCCCAATCAGGTCATCTCGATGCACTCCTGAGGGGCTTGGTGCTGGGGAAACTGGGGAAAGCAGGGCATAAAGCAACTCTGGAAGAAGCCCGACGTCGGTTTAAGGAGCACGTGGAAGGAAAGCAGATTCTTTCTGCTGATCTGAGGAGTCCCGTAAGTTATTTTAGGAAATTCCTGTGAAAGCTGGCTGTGGTGGTGCAGTCCTTTAGTCCCAGTGCAGGAGGCAAAGGCAGATAGAGCTCTGAGCATCAGGCCAGTATGGGCTACATAGTGATACCCTCCTTCTAGTTATCAGTTTTGTCCATAAAGCTAAAATTGACCTAAGAGCGGGCCCGCACACCCCTGCACAAATGCTGCTTAGATACGCTGTAGCCAGCGTCTTGGTTTCTCAGGTAGCACGTCAGTGCTGCAAGGTGAATATTGGTGCATTTCTCTGATAGACCTGGTGCAGGCTATTGTCCTGACATGTCAGCGCCTCTGTGTTTGTTCACCAGTAGTCTATTAGTGATTGATGATAGTAGTCTGTTTGAGCATTGATATGTAATTATGTTTCTTTTAAACTGGCCTTATGCTATTTTGTTTTGTTTTTCCAGACAGAGTCTTACTGTGTAGTCCACAGAGGCTTTGAACTTTTGGTTTTTCTCCTGCCTCATTCCAGCCCTTACTCCCCACCCCCAAGGCCTCTGCCAACATGTCTGGCTGCTTTTTATCTTAACATTAGCTCTTTATAACAGTTGTGTAACTCAAATGACTTCTCTTTTCCCCTGCTGTTCTTTTGTAGGTTTATCTTACTGTTTTAAAGCATGGTGATGGCACTACCTTAGACATTATGCTAAAGGTAAGTGAATTTGGAAAAGGCCTCTGCCTCCTGGTTTTGAACTTGAATATACTCAGTACCACTTTAATAGCTTGGGAAATAGGAAAAAATCTGGGCAAAGAAATATATGTCCTGGATTTGGCTCCTAATCACAGGTGTTAAGGAGGGTAAAGCAGGAGGATAGAAAGTTTAAGGTCTACCTGGGCTACAGAATGAGTTCAAGGTCAGATTGGGCAACTTTGTGAGATCCTACTCAGAATTAAAATGAAAGAGCTATGGAGTATAGCTTAATGGAGAGTTGGCCTGGCATACTGAAGGCCCTAGGCCCAGTTCCCAGTACCACAGACCCTAGGGAAAGAAAGGGGTATGGAGAGAAGAGAGAACTGTATAAGATCTGTTTGGGTGTTTCCAAAAATGTTAAACTCATTTTTCAGATTTCTTTGTTTGTTTTTTCTTCACAACTTTAATATTAAGCTAAATTGTAACCCTGAAATGGTGAGGTTTAATCCCACAATCTCAAGCATGTTAGGCAAGGGTTCTGCCACTAAACTTTAACTTCAGCCCTGTTTTGTTTTATTTTGTTTTGAGGTAGGGTCTAAGATAACGCAGGCTGATATTGAAGAGTGACACTTAAATTTTGACCTTTGTGCCTCTATCTTTAAATGCTGGGATTACAGGTGTGCTATTATGCCTTTTTTTTTTTTGACCCAGGGGTTCATTTTAACCCAGGCTGTCCTGCACCTCACTTCAAAAATGAAGCCGGCCTCAAACTCTTCATCTTCCTTCCACTTTTCCACATGGTTCAGATTACAGAGAGCATAGGCACGCCGCACACCTGCCCCACCTTTTTTTAAAAACGACAATAACAACAACAGGGTCTTACTAGGTTATTCAAGTTGCCCTTGAACTCACTTGCTTTAGTGCAGTCAAGCCTTGAACCTGATCTGCTGTAGCCTCCCAGGCAGCTGGGATCACAGCCTGTACCACCTACTGTGCCCCAAAGAGATGCCTGTCTAGATCAGTCATTCCCAACCGTCCTGATGTTTAATACTTTAATACAGTTTCTCCTGTTGGGTTCACCCCCCAACCGTAAAATCATTTTCACGGCTATTTCATAACTAATTTTGCTGCTGTTGTGAGTTGTAACATAAATATCTTTTTCTGGTTGCTAGCAACCCCTGTGAAAGGATCATCCAACACTCCCCCCAAAACCAGTGGTCTATATAAGTAAGCCAGCTTCTTTAAAACTTCTCCTATGTGAAAGTCTCTGAGTTCAAGGACAGGCAAGGCTACACAGAAAAACAGAAACCGTGTCTCGAGGGAGGGGGGAGCCCAAAATTTCTATGTAAGAGGTAAAGTTGTTCTCTGTTCTACATAAGCATATGCACACCTACACCCATACACATCCACACACAAACTAAGCTTTTTTAAAAAATCAACTTTTGAAAAATAGGTAGCATTTTGCTTTGTATGTACAAGAATCTGGGTTCTATCTCAGCATGGGAAGGAAGACACGAGAAGAGGCGTGGGCAAGAAAAATCAGATGTCCTAAGCATTATGAGTGAACAAGAAATCAATTCACCTGTCTTCATACTTTTTTAAACAGTATTAATACATAGTTAACCTTCCCTCCAACAGTGATCTGTTTCAGAGTTTGAATTAATTGTAAAACAGCAGGGGCTGGGGTTAGAGAGATGGCTCAGTGGTTAAGAGCACTGTCAGCTCATCCAGAGGTCCTGAGTTCAATTCCCAGCAACCACAGGGTGATGCCCTCTTCTGGCATGCAGGTGTACATGCAGGTAGAGCACTCATATACATAAAAGAAATAAAGTCAAGGGCTGGAGAGATGGCTCAGTGGTTAAGAGCACTTGGCTGCTCTTCCAGAGGTCCCAAGTTCAATTCCCAGCAACCACATGGTGGTGGCTCATAACCATCTATATTGAGGTCTTTGCCCTCTTCTGGCATGTAGGTGTACATGAAATGAAGCTAGAGCATTCATATACATAAAATAAATTTTAAAATATTTTAAAAAGAAATAAAGTGGAAAAAAATTGTAAAATGGGAAAAGTTCTGTGCTTACTCCCTATGCATTCATTTCCATCCTGTTAAGAAAGAATCATGATGTCTATATTAGAAGTAGAAGGGTCAAAATATGCTTGCTACTGTCACCAAGTAATTGTGCAAAATGTTCCTAAATACCCAAATTACCTATTACAACTGTGTATTCATTAAAAGATTTACACATAAGACAGGCATGTTTGCACATACCAGTGAGCCATGCACTTGGAAAATGGAGCTAGAAAGATCAGGAGTTGAAGGTCATCTTCAGCTGAGTTATATGAGCCCTGTCTTCACAACAAAAGTCCTCATTGGGGTTGGAGAGATGGCTCAGTGGTTAAGTACACTTAGCTGCTCTTCAGATTTATTCCCAGCACCCACATGGTGGCTGTTCATAACTCTAGTTCCAAGGGACCTGTCACCTTCTTCTGGCATCTGAGGGCACCAGGTGCCCACACAGTGCACTTAAAGACATACAGGCACATGAAATAAATAAGTCTTTTAAAACAGAGCCACACTTGAAGCAGGAATGGTATGTGCCAACTGGGTCACAGATTTAAGAATAATTCTGTTATCCCAGGTGGGTCAGAAAGTACAAACCTAAACTCAAGGAAGGGGCTGGGGGGAAAGGGACAAGAAAAGGTAATAGGGAGGTGAGTGTGACCAAAGTCTGTTTTATGCGCTTATGATTATGTCACAATAAGCCGGGAGACAGTGGTGCGTGCAACCTGTAATCCCAGCACTCAGGAGGCAGATGCAGGTGGGATCTCTGTGAATTCAGGGCCAGCCTAGTTTACAGAGCGAGTTCCAGGACAGCCAGCGCTACACAGAGAAACCCTGTCTTGAAAAACAACAAAAAAGAACCAAAAAGATGTGTCATGAATACATAAAGGAGACTTTATGCCAGATACCTTAACACATCGTGGCACAATTTCAAGAATTTACAATAGTGTCTAATAGTCCACATTTACTTAACACAGGGAAGCTCACAAAAATCAGCTTTTTCATGGAAAAAAATTTTTTTTAGTAAGACCAGTATCTTTAAGAGCCATGTGATGAGCAGGTGATGGTGTTGCGCGTCTTTAATCCTACCACTCAGGAGGTAGACGGCCTAGTCTGCAGAGCAAGATCCAGGACACCCAGCTACACAAAGAAATCCTCTCTCCAAAACACAAACTTCAAAAACAAAAACAGGAAAAACGAAACAAAACCATGGCAAGATACAAGGGTAGCCAGGTGATGGTGGTCTGTTCTACAGAGTGAGTTCCAGAACGACCAAGGGTACACAGAGAAACGCTGTCTCAAAAAATAAAAAAAAAAGAGGTCTGTTTTCTCTTGGTAATTTAGTAATGAGTATTTTAAATTATTTAAGAATAATTTCTGCTATCTTGAACTGTGATACTAGAGTGCCATCTAGTGGAAGTGTATTACATGTCTTCTGGGAGAAAAATGCTTCCTGAAAACTAAAGTTCAGTCCTTGAATATACTGGACCTTCAAAAGACTCAGTAGGCCAGAGTCAGCGGGATTTTCACAAATTTGAGGCCAATCTGATCTACGTAAGGAGCTCTAGACTACTCAGGGCTGCATAGTGAGAGCCTGTCTCAAAAGGAAAAGAACATTAGGTAATAAATATTCTGGGTTTTCTATTTTCTTTAAATGTGTATGAGTGTTTTGCCTGCATGTATTTCTTTGAACCACATGTGTGTGTAGCGTATTGCATAGCTCAGAAGAGAGCTTCCGATTGCCCTGAAGCTAGAGTTAACAAGCAGTTGTGAGCCATCATGTGGGTCCTTCAAATTGAACTCCAGGTCCCCTGCACGAGCAGCCAGTTCTCATAACTTCGGAGCTATCTCTCAAACCCCAAATTTTATGTGACTCTGAGGGGCTGAAGAGATGGTTCCATTTCATAGATTAACAGTTTATTGCACAGCAAAAGGATTTGCTGTTTGGATTTCCTGTGCAGTGGTGCACATCTCTGACATCTAGCACTGACTGGGCAGGAGCTTGCAGGACAGCTAGTCTAGGTGAAATGGTGAGCTCCAGGTTCACTGACAGATCCTGACCCAAAGAAACCAGATGGGCAGCAATACAGGAAGACTGCTGTGACCTCTGCCCTCCACTGTGTGGGTGAGCACAGCTGCAAACATGAACACATGTACACACTTAAAACATTTGTAAGCAACATTCAATAATATATCTTTTCATTTGTTATTGGGGGGAGGGGCGATAGGCTTTCATGTAGCCAAGGTTAGCTTCAAATTATGTAGCCAAGGATGTCCTTAAATGTTTGATCCTTCTTCTTCTACTTCTCCAAGAGTAATTTATCTTAAATGCAGCCAGCTACTAGATATTTCCACTATTACAGGCTAAATTGATGGTATTTGGTGATAGTTGATTCATCCAATGCAGAGTATCAGTCGAGTGTCAGTGATGTAAAGAATTTGACAGGCCCGACTTACTCTGTAGATTTTTACTATAGAGAACTGAGACAAACTTTAGCTAATGCACACCTACATGTTGTGGCTCACTGGGATGGTTTTGGTGCCCAACTGTTGTGACAAAGTGCTTACTCTGTGATGTAGTGTCCCATTAGTCTTGCCCAGTGAGAGGCAGAACAGAAGTTACCCTTATTGGAAGAGAAGCTGTTATGAGCATGTGTAGAATCCAGGAAAGTGCTAACTATTCCTTTTTATTTTTTCCCTGTAGCTTCACAAACAAGCTGATATGCAAGAAGAGAAAAACCGAATTGAAAGAGTTCTTGGGGCTACTCTTTCGCCTGAACTGATTCAAAAAGTTCTCACTTTTGCACTTTCAGTAAGTTATAAGCTACATTTTAAGAGAACTGGTGCTCAGCTGAGCGGCAGCAGTGAATGCCTTTAATCCTAGTATAGAGGTAGAGCCAGGCAGATCTACACAGCAAGTTCTAGGACAGCAAGGGCTGCACAGTGAAACCCTGTCTCCAGAAACCAGAGAGAGGGAGACTTTGATTCACCACACTCATGATGTTTTGGGGAAGCTGGTGTGAGCTTTTGTTTTTGTTTTCAAATTTTTATTGCTTTATTGGGGATGGGGGTGGGAGGTGGGGATGAGAGAAAGTGAGTGGTTCTTCCTTTCATCTGTGGTTTCCAGAGATTGAATCAGGTTGGGAGGCGTGGCTGCCATGCTGGCCTCTTCTCTCCCACTAGTAGTGAGAATTAGAACAGGTTGAAGAAGAAGTGGACGCCTTTATAATACCTTACCTTCCTGGGAGTGGGCATCTTCCCGCTGTCACTTTAATTTCCCAACTGTCTGTTATATTCTGTGGTACCAGGAGATATTCTAGATAGCCAGGCTTTCTTGTTTGTTTTTAGGAAGAGGTACGTCCACAGGACACTGTGTCAGTAATTGGTGGAGTGGCTGGAGGCAGCAAGCATGGCAGGAAAGCTGCTTGGAAATTCATAAAGGACAACTGGGAAGAGCTTTATAATCGATACCAGGGAGGGTTCCTAATATCCAGATTAATAAAGGTATGTGGGAGTGTTGAGTGGCTTGTTAATTTTGACTTATGTAATAATTATCCATGATGTATTAGACTAGTGGCTCTCAAAACTTTCCTAATACCAGCCCTTTAGTACATGTTGTGGTGACCTCCTCCAATCCTAAAGTTAATGCTACTGCATAGCTGTAATTGTGTTACTGTTACGAATTGTAATGTAAATATCTGATATGCAGGATATTTGATATGTGGCTCCTGTGGAGATTGTAACCCACAGGTTGGGAACCTCTGTATTAGACCAAAAGTTAGGGGTCTTGCTCTTTAAAAGGTTCTTCAGCCAGGTGTGGTGGACCATGCTTATAACCTCAGCACTATAGAAGCTGAAGCAGGAGGATTGTTGTGAGTTTGAAATCAGCCAGGGCTGTATAGCAAGACCCGAACCCCTGTGCCTATCCTCAAATAAAGAGTTCCTCGAGGTTGCATCTCACTCATAGGCCTGTTCTGAACGAGGCTCTGGGTTCAAGCCTCCCCCACAAAAGAAAATGTTACTGGGGTTTGTTTTATGAGCGTGCACGTCTCCCTTTTAGCATCTGTGCAAGTGGGAGAGAACAGAATGGGTTGTCTTTAGGGTAAGTGGAAGTTTGTTCCTAGTCTCTTTTTGTTTCCCTAAACTGTATAAAACCTGTTTGTTTTCAGCTGTCAGTTGAGGGATTTGCAATTGATAAAATGGCTGGAGAAGTTAAGGTAAGGAAAGTACTATATACTTTTTACTTTTCAATCTAGAACATACATGAATCTAGTTTCCCTTCTTGCTTTTTTTTTCTTTTCTTTCTTTCTTAAACTTTAATTTTGTGTGTATGAGTGTTTTGGCCTGCATGTCTATGTGCACCATGTGCTTGCTTGATACCCATGGATATTAAAGAGAGCATCAGACCCTGGATCTAGAGTTCTAGAAAGTTGTAAGCCACCAAGTAGATGCTAGGAATCCAGGTTCTCTGCAAGAGCAGCAAGTGCCCTTAACCTGAGCTATGTCTCCAGCCCCGTGAACCTCATTCTAATGAATGTTGGGATGATCTGCTTTTTGTATGTCCTTTCTTCTTAGAAAAAAGACAAATTTGACTTTGCCTTCAATATATGAATAGTTTAGAGAGATGATCAGTTTGGTGTAGACCCTGAACCTAGTAAATATCAGTATTTAGGGGACAAGTTAATTCTGAGTAGGAAAAATTAAATTTCATTATACTTTAAACTTTATCATGATGTCATTTATAACGCCAGTTTCACCTTTATCTTCTTGGAGGCAATATTGAGAACTATGATCTGGTTCTCTGTAGGAGCTGTTGTTAGGGATAAATTTTATAGCCAGATGTGGTAGTGCACACCAGTTGATCCCTGAGTTTGAGGTCAGCCTGGTCTACAAAGCACATCCAGGACAGCCAGAGCTACACAGGGAAATTCTGTCTGACCAGGGGTGGGGGGGAATAAATTTTACTGGTCTTGAGAAACTAGTGAAAGACTTGGTTTTTGTTTCCATTTAATTTACATTATATATTGTATTATGTGAACAATTTCATTGTAAAGGTCATGGGACTATGGAGGAGAAACACCTAACAGGCTTGGGGACAGGGTAGTGGCAAACTGAAGCTGGTAAGGCAGAATTTCCTTAAGCTTGAAGGTGGGAATGGTGGCTTGTGCTGATCAGTTTAAGGCAGGAGCATCACTATGGTTCTAGCGCTGTCAAGCTACAGTATAAAAGAAGATGGTTTGAGGTAAGAAAGGGAAAAGGTTGAGACACTAATTCTTCAAGCCAAAAGACACAGTAGCTTAGATAGGAATAATGGAGTCAGGAAATAGAGATTTGGCATTGGCAAATAGATCATTAGCATTGGCATATACACATTGAGATGGGGCCATACCCTGTAGCCAGGCTGACCTCAGCCTCACTGTGAACCCCAAGTTGGCCTTGAATTCATGATGATCCTCCTACCTCAGCCTCAAGAGTACAGGGATTATAATGATTTATGAACCACCATACCTGGCTTTTGTTAATATTTAATTCAACAATATTTCTGTGTGTTGTGACCATGTAAGGCAGCATTTTTCAACCTGTGGCTGGAGATTCCTTTTAGGATCAAACGTCTTTCACAGGGGTCACCTATAAAAGGTGACCATCAGGAAACACAGATATTTGCATTACAATTCATAACAGGAGCAAAATTACAGTTACAAAGTGGCAATGAAGATAATTTATCGTTGAGGGGGTCACCATAACATGAGGAACTGTATTAAAGGGTCACAGAGTTAGGAAGGTTGAGACCCTAAAGGAAGAAAAAGAGCCAAGGATCATTTCTTTGTGGTGCGTTCATTCCAGCCCAGCACTCTGGCAGGCGGGTCTCCAAGACTAGCCAGGTCTCCGTAGTAAGTTCCAGGACAGCAGGGATGTGTGGGGAGACACAGTCTCCAGGTGTTGGCGATGATAATGCTGGTGCTGTTTGCTGAGAAGGGACTGGAGGGAGGGCTGCTGTGTCACACCAGCCCTGAGAAGCCTGCAGAGCCAAAGTCTTCTCCAGTAATCAGGCTACTGATGGCTGACACTTATACTTCATCTGGTGTTAGTCACTTTCCCTTTTACCAGGACAGGCAGGCCTGTGGCCATTTGCTGGTTTCCAGATGTTTCCAGATGTTTGCTGTGAAACCAGATGAACTAGTTAAAAAATAGTTTAAAGCCGGGTATAATGGTGCATGCTTGTAATCCCAGCACTTGGGGAGGCAGAGTCAGGTGGATCTCTTGTGAGTTCAAGGCCAGCCTCGTCTACAAGGCTAGTCCAGGACAGCCAAGGCTACAACAGAGAAACCCTAACCCTGTCTTGGGGTTAGGAAGAAAATAATAACTTTAAAAAATAAACTCGGAAGTACTTTTAGTCTATGAAAACTGTGGAGTGGAACTGGATTAGTAGCAGCATTTTAACTTTGTGGTTTCATTGCCCTTATGCACTTATCGTGGGTGCAGCATTGGGTCCTGCAGTGCCGTGTGCCCTGTCTTGCTCAGTGCTCATTTGTTTTTTCATCCTGCAAACATTTATCATAGACAAGAGATTGACGCTTAGAACAGCTAACTTACTCAGTGACCAGCCAGCACCTTGACCAAGCCTAGTCTTAGGCTCAGTATGTGTCACATCCTAATCATGCAAGGTCTTTTAACATTGGGATGTGGCAATGTCATCTACAAAATTCATGCTTAAGAGCCATGAACTCAGAAGCAATCCCATTTCAAAGGCCTCATCTTCCAAATCCCATTAACATATTGTATACAAGAGGATGTGGTAAAGAACCTGCCACATAGTTAGGGTGAGTGGTTTTATATTATTTTTATTTTATTCTGAGTAAGAGAGAAAATACCTAGAGATATTTGGAAGAGTCCAGAATAGAGAGAAGTAGTAGACTGGATGTGGGCACACACTGCCCCCCGTCTGGAGCAAGAGATAGTGGTGGCAGCAAGGGGAAATCCTGGTGATGATATAGAGAACAAAGGGTATCTGGGAGGAGGGAAGCCTAGGGAATTGAGAAGGGCTAGGACTCTAGTTTAGAGCTTTGAAATGTTTTAACAGTGGGATTCTGGAGACCAGCAGTTTTAACCAGAGTGCTGTTTCTGTGAAGAGACGCTGTGACCTAGGTGACTTGTAAAAGAAAGCATGGAAATGGGGATTTACTTACTGTATCAGAGGTTTGGTCCATTATCATGGTGACGGACATGGTAGAGTAGCAGAGAGCTATGTCTTGATTCATAGGGATAACAGCCCTGGGCCTGGCTTCAGCTTTTGAAACTTCAGAACTCACTCCCAGTGACAGACCTCCTCCACTAAGACCACCCCCTAACCCTGCTAATCCTGTCAAGAGCTCTACTCCCTGGTGACCAAGCGTCAAATATGAGCCTGTGGGAGGCATTTAAACTAGCACAAGAGCCATGTACCTTCTGCCAGGAAAGTGAATGACTCTTTTGGGGGGACAGAAACCCCAGTTCACAATTTCCTGAGGAACGCTGGCTTTTATCACCAGAAATTTTTCCATAGACCAGCTTGAGCTTGAGCTCATTTGTAGACATACGGAGGGCTAAGACCTAACTTCTCTAACTCTGAGGAGTAAGTTCCCAGGAAATGAAGTAGAGGGATAGGGAATATTTCCAAATGCTAGCGGCAGAATGTTGAAACGGAAGAAGTCAGGGCTTTTGTCAAGTCTAGGTTAGGGCCAGAGAGATGGCTCAGCAAGTAGGAATGCTTCATGACAAATCTGATGACCTAAGTGGGATCCCTAGGATCCGTATGGTGGAAGGCAAGAACCAGCTCCTGAGTGTTGGCCATCTGAGCCCACATCTCCCTGGGGCACACTCAGCTCATAAATGTGTCAGGGGCAGAGGAGCATCTCCGGGTTAGACAGCACTTGCTGCTCTTAAGAAGGACCTGAGTTCAGTTTCCTGCACCCATGCCAGCCGCATCACAGCCACCTGTTCCTTCAGCCCTAGGCGTCTGCAGTACTCCCGGCCTCTAAAGCACACACGCATATACTTAAATGAAAACAAATCTTCAAAGCCGGGTATTGGGGACGCACACTTTTAATTCCAGCACTTGGGAGACAGAGGCAGGTGGATTCTGTGGTTCAAAGCCAAAGCCTGGTCTAGAGTGAGTTCCAGCACAGCCAAAACTACACAGAGAAAAACCCTGTCTTGACAAACTACATACATTCATATGTATACATATATATATGTATACATACAAACATGCCCCAGCACACACAATAGGTATGCAGGTAGGTGGGTAGATAGAGTAGATAGATAGATGGATAGATAGATAGAATCTTCAAAAACAAAGGTAGGGCTTAGAAAAATGGTTTAGCAATTAAGAGCTCTGACTATTCCAGAGGCCTTGAGTTCAATTCCAATCACCCACATGGCAGCTCAAAACTTTCAATAACTATAGTCCCATGGATCAAATGCCCTCTTCTGATGTGCAGACATACATGCAAACAAAATCCCCATATACATAAACATATAATCTTAAAGAAAAAAAAAAAGAAAAACAAAAAACTAGGTTAGATTCTACATGAAGTCAGAGAAAAAGCAGTTATAAATAGACTTCAGTAGAGTAGGGGGGTTTGAACATGCCGAGCTCTGAAGGGTCCTGTCTTGCTCTTCCAAGGCTATACTTCTCTGTGCAGAGAAAAGCCTACTAGGTACCACAAGTGACAGCAGCTAAAAAATGTACTTGTTATATTTGGATCTGTCAGGTTAAATAAAATATTTTACTGAGAAAGATACTACACAATCAAGTTCCTAAGTAAATCCGATGCTTTCAGTAGGTTTGTGACTGTTTACTAGGCTGTTCATAGCTGTCTTTGGCTGCATGGAGCTTGTGCGTGGGCCACGAATTGGACACACTGGGACACAGCGTTTTCTTAGCAGGTTCCAGCTCTATAAGTTTTTTTGATTAGGTTTTGTGTATTCACTTGTTAAGGAAGGATTCTTCTATATAGGCCCAAGGATTTGCTTATTCCAGCCTATGATGGCAATGGTCAACTCTCATGATTGAGGCTCATTGATCCTTTTGTGCTTTTACATCCGTGAACTCCTTCCAGTTGCTAACAGTGGTTCTGCATTGTGGGTTGTCTTATACCAGGCTTTCTTCGAGAGTCACCCAGCCCCTTCAGCTGAGCGTACCATCCAGCAGTGTTGTGAAAATATCCTGCTGAATGCTGCTTGGCTAAAGCGAGATGCCGAGAGCATTCACCAGTACCTCCTTCAGCGGAAAGCCTCCCCGCCTTCTGTGTGAAGCCTCTGCACCGTGGGCTCGCTGCCTCTGCAAGGATGAGGTGGAGCTACCAAGCTGATTCACATGCCAAGAATTTGGAGTCTTACACCAGTGGGGTTTGGACAATGAATGTAGTTAACTGGTTCCTGCTCACACTCCAGAATTAAATTCTATTGAAAAAGGAAAATCAGCAATTCAGCAAAAAAATAAATAAATAAATAAATAAAATAAAAATGTAAATATGATAGTAATAAACTAGAGCATAACGAAACTGTGAAACTTCCTGAAGCCTGTCATGGTTCAAAGTGTTGAACACTCTCCTGTTAGTGACGGATGTTGTTTTATAGCCTACCAGAAGGAAAGAGGCTTTTGGGGAAGAGGGTTGTTGTGAAGTGGGTTCTCCATGCAGCCTGACAAGCCGGGCATGTCCATCGCTGGGGATGCTGACGGGAAGGCTGGTCCTGGCTCACTCAGTGCAGTCTGCAGAACTCCAGGTGGGCTTTCCTCTTCCTTTGTGGCATGGGAACTGACCAGGAAGGTACCTTTTCCTGCATAACTCAGTCTGAACCAAGGAGTGTAGTTCTTGCCTCCCTTCTGTGTGATCCCCACCTACCCCCAAAAAGGAACGAAAGCTTTTAAAAAAATAACCCTCCCCTCCCTCATCCTGAGTTCTCCCTTTAGTTCTGCCGAGCCCTGACCCATTGTTCTTATAGATAATGAGAAACATCTTTGACAGCCACATTAAATAAGAGGAGCTGATATACTTTTTTTTTCTTTTTTAAGATAACCTTTAAGAACCCTGAAATGCATAGTAGGTGAGAGAGTAGAAATAAGGATTGTCAGCCAGGCCTTTCTGCTGGAGTGATTCTGCTCAGAAGGGTCCCAGCTACCTGACAGGCCAAATGCCGCGCCTCTTGCGAACAGTATCTGTGAGTTGTGGCTCGATAGCTTGTGTATATGAGGGGCCAGCGGGGACTGCCGTGAGCCCAGATTTCCGCTGCGCCACTGCGTTATCAGAGTGCCCACTAACGAGCCTGGCCACCTAACTCAGTGTGTTTTTACTAAGTCTCAGCCCCTTTCTCCCTTCTTATTTTTCCTTTTTTTCTGTTCCTTTTATTTTTTTCTGGATCTCTTTTTGTGTTAACAGAAATTCATATTTGGTGTGGCTTAAATGTATTTCGGAAGGTCATCAGATTGTGAGACTGCTTCCTTGAAACATTTTTGTGCTATTGTTTTAAAAAATAATAATTAAAAAACAGTTGGCGTTAATAAAAATGTCAATGTGAAGTTGATGTCCTGATTATTTCAGCCTCCTCGAAAAGAAACTAAAACTTTTCCTGTGCTTCAAGAGAATTGTAAGACGTCTGACCGCCATAGAATGTTTTTGTTTTTCTTTCATGGTTTTTCGAGAGAGGGTTTCTCTGTGTAGCCCTGGCGGTCCCGGAAATCTGTAGAGCAGACTGGCCTCAGAAATCCACCTCCCTCCCTCCCTCAGGGCTGGGATCACAACCACACGCCACCATGCCCAGCTAACCGTATTTGCATTACATTTAATGGATATGCACCTGGATATGCCATAGTGTGTGAGTGTGTGTGAGTGCCCACTCTCATTTGTTGCTGAAGCAAAGCCTCTTTCTGAATCCTGGCTAGACTAGAATTCACTGTGCAGCCCAGACTGGCCTCAAACTCAAAATGATCCTCCTGCCTCAGCCTCCACAGTGTCAGATTATTGGCATGAGCCTTCAGGCACAATTTTACCAAAGGGTTTTGTGTGTGTGTGTGTGTGTGTGTGTGTGTGTGTGTGTGTGTGTGTTTAAGAAAATTCAAAGCAGGTATGATGGTTTGTGCCTATAATTTCAGCATTCTGAAGGTTAAGGCAGGAGGATTGAGCATTTCAGAGTAACATGGGCTACATACACAGCAAGACCGTATCTCAAACAATTGTGTGTGTGTGTGTGTGTATATATATATATATATATATATACACACACACACACACGTGTTTATGGGATATACCTCATCAAAAAAGCATTTGCCTAGCTTGCACAAAGCCTGGGTTTAGTTCCCAGCCACAATAAACAAAATAGTATTTGGAAAATGGCACTGTGGGTAAGCTGCTCTGCAAACATGAGGACCTGAGTTCATATTCCCTAGCAACAACATTTTTAAAAGGTGTGGTAGAGCTCCCTTTTAATCAGGAGGCAGAGGCAGGCAGATCCCTGAGTTCAAGGCCAGGGTTATACAATCAGACTCTGGGGAAAAGGGGCAGAAAAAAAAAAGGTTAGGTACCCCTATGAAAAGCTGGTTCTGGGGGAGGGTCAGATGGGGATCCCTAGGGTGATTTGAACAGAGACACAGGGTTGCCATGAATGCAAGGGCAACATAGTGTCACAAACAAAACCCTGTATTTCCAGCACCAGAAAGTCAGAGAGAGCCTGACAATACAATAAATTCCTGGCCAGCCTGAATTCTTCTGTTCTGTGTATCAACACACACACACACACAGCCAATAATAAACTATCTCAGCATGTAAAAAGCTGCCAGCAAACCTGACTCCTGTCCCCAGGGTCCGTGCAGTGGAAGGAAAGAACCTACTCCAAGTTATCCTTCGACCTCCATGTTTGTTTGGTTGTTTGTTTTTCAAGACAGGGTTTCTCTATGTAGTCCTGGCTGTTCTGGAACTCACTCTGTAGACCAGGCTGGCCTTGAACTCCTAGAGATTCACCTGCCTCTGCCTCTGCCTCTGCCTCTGCCTCTGCCTCTGCCTCTGCC